TCATCATCATCATCATCATCATCATCATCATCATCATCATCATCATCATCATCATCATCATCATCATCATCATCATCATCATCATCATCATCATCATCATCATCATCATCATCATCATCATCATCATCATCATCATCACCATTGTTATCATCATCATCAGCATCGTCATCATAAGTATCATACTCATCATCGCCATCATCGTCATCGTCATCGTCATCCTCATCGTCAGCATGATGATCATGAGCATCATCGTAATCATCATCATCAGCATCATCATCATCATCATCAACAGTATAAGCATCTTCATCATCAGCATCATCACCCTCATCATCATCGTCATTACCACCATCATCATCATCATCATCATCATCATCAGCAGCAGCAGCAGCATCGTCATCATCATCATCAGCAGCATCATCATCAGCATCATCATCCTCCTCATCATCATCAGCATCATCATCAGCATCATCGTGATCAGCATCAGCATCAGCATCAGCAGCATCATCATCACAACCATCGTCATCATCATCATTATCAGCAGCATCAGCATCATAATCACCGTTTTCATCATCATGCTCCTCATCATCATCAGCAGCATCATCATCCGAAGTAGCATCATCATCATCATCAGCATCATCATCATGCTCATTACCATCATCGTCATCAGCATAATCATCATCAACAGCATCAGCATCAGCATCAGCGTCAGCGTCAGCGTTCTCACCATCACCACCACCACCATCATCATCATCATACTCATCAGCATCCTCATTATCATCATCATTATCATGAACATCATCATCATAATCACCATCATCATCCTGATCCTCATCCTCATCATCATCATCCTCATCATCATCCTCATCCTCATCCTCATCCATGGCACCACATAGGCACAAACTGCTCAAGATGCCATAACTGGTCGAGGCTTGCAAAGGGATGCACCAACAGCTGAAGCAAAGCACCTTCATCAACGACCACGCACACACGCAATTGTGCAGCACCACCCATGCACGAGGACTCCGACTACAAGGATTTCACCTCTTTCCTCCTTCACGCATCACGCAAATTCATTGTATCGCAGCACGCGCGCATGCTTTCAACACACGACATACAGATATAGAGAGTGACGCATACTTGTAAAAGATGGAGAGAAGGAGGGAGAGAGAGAGAGAGAGAGAAAGAAATATATTGCGAGAGAGAAAGAGAAAGGCCGCAGCCTCGCCCGCCTAGCCTTAGATAGGCCCGAAGGACGCTCCTCATTGGTAGTTCATTCGCTCGCCTCCTCCTCCTCCTACTCCACTTTTTCCTCCTCCTCATCCTCCAACCATCCCTCTTCATCCTCCCCTCCTCCTCTTCTTCCTCCTCCTCATTGTCCTCTTCCCCTGCCTCTTGCCTCTGCTCACTCTCCCGCCACGCCACCCCGCTGGGGGCTCAAGCCTCTCTGGGTCAAGCTGGCCCACCCTTGTCAGGGGCCCACCAGGGGTCTAGCCTGTGCCCGACTGGTTTCCGCCGTCGCAGCAGCAGATGCGCGGCGGCAGAGGCCTGCTTCGCGCGGCGGAAAGGCGCTTGGCGCGGCGCAGCACATGCACAGGCTCGAGGTTTCGTTTGTAATTCGCTGCTGGCAAAGACTGCACGTCGTAAATCCCGTTGGCCCCGCCGACGCGGCGGGGCGACAACGGAGGCTCCACGGGACAAGAACAGGGGATGGGCTGTCGGGTGGATGCTTGCTCGCTTTGAAATCATTGACACCCGCCCTCCTGCCCGACGTGGGGTGGGAAGGGCAAAAATCCCCGAGGCTCGAAATCTTGCGCCCGGCATCGATGCCACAAACGCTGCACCAGAGGAACCCATCAGTCCCCCCGCCCACCAGAACCGATGGGTGGGACCGGCGGGCCAGGGCAAGCCTACCAGGGACAACTGCTTGGGCGACGTGCCTGAATAGTGCGGCCACTGGTCTTACAACGCCTGCCACGATGCAAAACAAAACCCCGGCGGCCGCCGCTCCACTTCGCCTGGTGTCCCCTTGGGGTCTGAGGATGAGCAGGCCGAGAGCACGACGAAACCGAAGTTTATCAGCATCAGGGACGGCGGCAACCGCAGAGTGGCCAAGGATCCGACCGGTACACAGGGAGACGAAACATACGAGGCCCACCAATGAGGGGGCCTTTTGGGCCTCGAATTCCACCAATGCGGGGCGGGTTCCAGCGCTCCTGTTCGCAAAAATATCCGCTGACTTGCTGGCGCGAAAATAGTGGGGCCACGGGGCCCCCTCGCCTGCGCCTCCGTCTCGAAAGCGTACGAAGGGATCCCAATCCGCTAAACCTGACCCGCTCTCTTGCAGCGGGCAGGTCTGGGGCCAAAAGAGTGCACCCACAGCGCCCGCGTGCCCGTCAACTTCGACGCAGGACCATCCAGCCTCTGAACCGTGGTGAAACGTGGGGGTCATGCAAGAACCGTGAACCCCAACGAGCCCCGCGAGGACCCCGCCTCCCACGGGCCCGTCGGAGCAGATGACCCCGTCGAGCCGAAGCCCGTTCTCAAGCCCAAGCAGGGAGTCAACCCACCTCGGCGCAGAAAGAATGTTTTGTTGATTCTTGTCCCCACCGCGTGGCCGATGGTCGCGGGCCAAACCCGAGCTACTGGGCGGTGAAATCTCGGGTGCCGTCTGGGATGCCCCGTCCGCCTGGTATGTTGGTCCGAGACAGCCACCCACATGGTTTTGTGCGTGAGGCGTGGCGCCACAGAGGGAGAAGAGGAGGAAGACGAGGCCGAGGGGGAAGCAACGACGGCCCCAAAGCGCAGAAACGACAAAGCGGGAGGACAGGGAACGAGAGAGGAGGCGACAAAACGACGAGCCAAGACGACAAGAGGCAAAGCGACAAGAAACGAAATGCGGCGACGCAGCCCAACCTCAGAGAAGGAGCAAAACTGGGATGAAGAACGCGGCCACCTCCAGAATATATGCCTCGGCCTCCGTCTCAACGAACATGTGCCGAATACGGGAAAGACATAAAGTGCCCACCTCCACAGGAGTCCAACGCCGTCGAAGGTATCGAGCCCGGCCAGACGGCACGGCATCACCCGTGCATCCACATCTGTGCTATCGCTGAGCCAAAATGATAAGTGCGAGTCGAAGCAGCCAAACAAGATACACTCGAGTTCTGGAGGGCTGCTATACCCATCATAGCAGCAAAGGAACGAACTGAGCCCTCCCACTCTGAGTCTTGAACTGGTCTTTCAAACTACGAAATGTGGCGTGGTAAGTGGTACAGAGAGAGGACCCAGGAAGTATAACAGAGATGGGATGAATGAAGGAGGAGACCTCGACCACAGTAGTAGTAGTAGTGACCCAGCTGTGGGGCCAAGCGGCGACGTCACGGCGGCGACGCGGCGGCGGGGCCCGGCCAAGGTCATCCACCGTAGCCGAGGGCGACCAAAGGAAGGCCCGAAGAGGAACTTCAGGCCGAGCTCTCCCCTGCAGCCTTCACGCTGCCAGGCGCGCTCTGATGAGCGCCGCTGCCTGCGCCATGCCCACCGCCTCGCGCACCAGCGCGTGGCCCCTCGCTGCCACCCCGCGGGTGCGCAAGACCATCGCGCTAGCCTCGAGGTCCTGCGCTGCGGTCTCAGGGCACTGGTAGTTGCGCGCCAGTGCCAGCGCCCTGAGATAGGCAGCCGAGCGCCGCGGGGACGTCCCCCGCCAGCGCGGCCGAGGGAGTCCCCGCTCGGTGTCCTGGCCCCCGTTCTCGGTCCGGCCCGGCACATCCAGCTTCTTCTCGTCGTCGTCGTCGTCCACGTCCAGGTCCGCCTCCAGCACGGGCTTCAACTTCTTGCCGTCCAGCACCTCCATCTGAGCGTCCACGTCGTCGCCTTCGCCATTGCCTTCGCCTGGGCCCGGGTCGCTGCCGCAATCGTCGCCTGCGGCCTCAACGTTGCCATCTCCGGCCCTGGCAATGAGGGCGCCGCAGTCCTCCCCTGCGCCGGGCGCTGTTTCGGCGGCGTCAGCCCCGTTGCGCTCGGGATTCGAGATTGGAAACGGCGGGATTCGAGATTGGAAACGGCGTCATGTATAACATGGCAACGGGTACGAGGTTGCCACACCACCACTCGGCCACCGAATCAGCTTCAAGAGGATCACCTTGGAGAGGTACAACGGAGGAGCCGCAGCACTCCGTCTTCAGAGAGCCATCGAGCGCGGGAAGGTGCCAGTACGCATCCAGTGCCTCACACGGCGGCTGCGGCGCCGCGGCGGCGCCCGGTGCTCCTGCGCCTGGGCTCGGGCGCTCCAGTCCGGTAC